TTTATTTTTTTTAACTTAGAATGGAATCTTTTATTTTTGGGCCTAGGAAGAGTTAACTTTTGTTTTTTGTTGTTTGAGCTGATGATATTGTTGGGTCAACACTAATGTTTGTATGACAGAGAACCGGTCTTTTATGAACTGGATCAGCCAATTTAGAATATAAGGCCCAACTAGTAGAATCAGGAGAATTATGATTAGGGGGCCCATGATGGAGGAGATCAGGGTGGTAATCTAGGAGGACCGACTAAACCATCTCTCGTATCAGCTCTGTCTTGACTCAAAGAATTGTTGTCTCTGTCTGAGTCTTTTTATTTTTTATTAATCTAGTATGGTCAGCAGCTAAGCAGATGTTTAAGATAATAGCTAATGTCAGGGAGCCATTTTTGACTTAGCATTTTAGCCTGTTAGGGGGGATTTGGGCGGAGATCCGTCTTTTGGAGCTTTTTTATGTTGATGATTGGATCGTTGATATCTCAGTTTGAAAGAGGCTGAAATGTTAGTTAAAAGTTGGGGAGAGTATATGGGTAAAGATTACTAGGAGCCAGTCAAAGGCTGGTCAATGAGGCAGTCTTAAGCATCTGGTCAGTTGATCTACCGGAAGAGGCAGGGAGCAATCAGGTCAGTTTTTAGGAAGTCTAGATCTTAGCTTGTAGTCTATAGCTGATCTCAGAACAGAGTTGAACAGGTGAAAATCTGCTGAGACAAATTTATATTGGAGACAGAAGTTAAAATTTATCTATTAAATTGGAAAGATTAGGGAAAACCTCATCTGTGATCTTTTTGAGCTATGTCAGATCTAGGTCAAATCTTGAAACTTATATGAAATTTTTAGTATATAAAAGGAAATGTATAATTTTAAATATTTAGAAAAGTAACATATCAGCAAATTGAACATTTTGAGAATAACAGGTAAAACTGTATCTCACTGAATAAGTATCAGTTGTTTGTTTTATAACTTTTATATATAACTTAAGTGTGTCTATGGTACCATTTTTTTTTGTGGGCATAGCTGTTGGTAATTAGCCACGAATGAAGCTTGGCCATTTTTTTATTTATTTAGCATTCTTTAGTCTTTATCTCTGTTTATATTGGAAAGTTAGGCAGAAACACATTATTGGCTTTAGTGTTAAACCCTGGATGTTTGATTTTTTTTTTTAAAGCTATGACTTTTGTGTCAGATATATATATTAAACAGATGTTTTTAACATGATGAGAAGTATCTTTAAGTCTTTAAGTCTATCTCTAGAAGCCAATCAAAGGAAATTAAATCTCAACCTGGTGACTGAATAATAAGCAGTCAGTGTTTTATCAACTTATCAGAACTGTATTAATAAATGTCAAAACTCTGAACTTTTGAAATCTTGTAACATAAGCATAACAGTAGCAAAGAGGGGGGAGAGATTTAAAGTATCTCTCATTTTTAATATGTTTTAAACTATTTTTATCAACTTAGACACTCTAATATTTTTTGTATTTATCAACCCTGAAACAATTTTTTAGACCAAATAACAACATTTTAGATTTTATAACTTAAACTCTTATATTTTTAGACTTTATATAGGCTCTGTATTATTTTTTTTAATCTAGTTATATATCTTAAGACACAGATAACTAACATGAATTTTGTGAGCAAGGGAAACCTGTCTTTTTTTTTTTTAAATAAGAGATCTAGTATTTAGTAGTTTTAGCTAATTTAGCTAATGAACTGATCAATGAACTAACAGTGGATCTAATTGTCTTTTTTTTTAGCTGTGCTATAGACAAAGCCGGAGACATCTAAAGAGCCATTGTCTCACATTGTGAGAGACAAGGTGAGGTCAATCTCTTCTGTTCCTCTTTCCACAAAAACAGTAAAAGCAGTCTCTCACCTTCTGTGCCTGGCTAGACAGCCTCTGTTCAAGATGCCATAAAACAAGAGCGAGAGACACTGCCTAGGTGATAGACTAAGTAGTCATCTCTGTCATTTTGATTATATATTTATTTAGCTTATAATTTATCCTTCTCAGGTCTCTAAACACCTTGATGGCTATGCTAAGCTTACGACGAGACCACACTTCTACAATATAAAATGTAAACACTCAAGAAGAAAATTAATGAAGACACTGAATGATCTCCTACGATCACACAGCAGAAAAATTAATATTGTAAAATGATTGCTCCCACATTTAATTCAGTGCAACCCTTATCACAATTCTATAACCATTTTCACAGAAATCTTAAAATTCATATGGAAGACCAATGTGATGGCTCCGAAGGTCAGAGTACCTGCCAGCCTGCCTGACAACCTGACTTCGACCACTGACACCCACAGAGGAGTGAGGAGAAAACCAACTTCTACAACTTTTTCTCTGACTTCCACATGCATGCACTGGAAAGCGCACATATGCACACATACATACATACATACATGCATACATGCAGGCAGGCAGGCATGTGCATGCACACACGAGACACACACAAAGACTTAATAAAAAATTAATATGTAAACATAACAAACTTTTGATTGATACTCAAATCAATTCTAAACACTAAGTATAACGCATCAACATACCAGATTCTCAATTTTTTTTTTAATTTCAAATTTTATCACAAAGCCATAGTAATGAAAGTAGGAAGGGGCAATATGCTACTGGCACAGAAGCAGATGTGAAGACCACCGGCCCAGGGGACAATACCACCCACAACAGGCTGGGCCCTCCGCCATCAGTCACTAATTGAGAAAATCCTTACAGCTGGATCTCCTGGAGGCTCAGCTGAGGCTCCTTTCTCTCTGATGGCTCTACCTGGTGTCAAGCTGACACACAAAACCAGCCAGTACAGTATGATTTTGAGCATCTCTGGTAAAAACCAGGTAGCTATACGTATGGGGTCTCTATCTTGGTCCTAAATTTATTCCGCTGATCTTCACCTCTGCTTCTGTGCACCCCCAAGCCTACACAAGTCTAAGCCAGACGGGATCCAGGTGCTGGGAGGGGAAGTAGATACAAGGCCCCATCCCTAACCCAGAAGCTATCTCCAATTGATAATCACTCACAGAGGAAAAGTTGGCTTTCTCCACTGGGTGAGAGGAAAAGTTGGCTTTCTCCACTGGGGTCCCACTAGGAATACAAAGCACACTTAGGGACAGGCCCCAGGCCCAGCTGTAGAGGGCCAACACAAAACAAACTCAGAGGTAGTTTTGGAGATTTCTGTATGTATTGCAATGCTTCGTTTGAGCTTTTATTATTTTCCCCTACAGCTCTTTTGCTTATATATTTATTATACCTTCTGATTTTGTTTTTGTGTGATTTCTGTGTGCAAATGCATATGCTTCAGCATTGACACGTATTGCTTGGTTTTTTATTTGGCTCTTTGTCTTATTTTGATTTGTCTATATATATATATTTTATCATTACAATGTTAGATACCTGTTTAAATTCTAATGAGAGAAAGAAAAGGTATGGATTTGGGTGGATGGGGAAGTAGGATCTGATGTGATAAGAAAAACCGTAATCAAAACATACCATATTAAAATAAAACTGTTTTCAATTTAAAATGGGGGGGGGTGCTGATATTAGAAAATGCAATGTATGCTAGCATTGGGGGAAAAACAAATACTACTGAAATACTATTGAAGTAAAAATACTATTGTAGTAAATATAATAGCCTAAATAAGAGAGAGGGAAGGTACTAAGGAAGTTATATTACATTTCTTGTAAGAGGAAAAATAACATATTGTTTTAATTTTAATATTAGAATCCAAAGGTTCATTCATTTACCTGTCTGGTTTATTTACTTTAAAGTGTATTATTCTAAAATGAAAACAGGACATAAAAATTTCCAATTACTCTTGCAAAAAAAAATGCTTAAATTAAAAGAAAATTCTCAGGGGCTGGAGAGAGAGCTCAGCAGTTAAGACCATTGGCTGCTCTTGCAAAGGACAGCACCTATACAGCAACTGACAACTGTCTCTAACTCTAGTCCCAGGGACTCTGGCACCCCTTCCGGCCTCCACAAGCACAGGCGTGCACATGGCACAGACATGCATGCAGGCAAAATACTCAGACACATAAAATATTTTTTAAAATATGCAGGCAAAATGTAGGAGAGAGAGAGGGAAAATAAAAAAGTTCTCAAAATATATAAATATATATAAACAATGTAAGACAAGTTAAGCATGCCAGCCCCTGGGTCAGAGAATGTCTTGGATTTTCTGTGTGTGTCCACATGGGTGTTGTGAGTGTGCAGGTGGGCACATGCTCTTGTGTGGTGCGAGTGCATATGGGGGCCAAAGTCTCAGTCAGGTGCCTTTCTCGGTCCTCTCAGTGAACCTGAAGCTGGCTGATTGGGTTACCTCGGTGAGCCCCACAGATCTTGCCCTCTGCCTCCCCAGCACTGGGGTTGTAGACACAAGCATGTGTGTTCTGCTTGTGTGGCAGGTACTTTACTGCTGGGGCCCCTGCCACAGACTGGCAAATAGCTATTAGGAAGCAAATGTTACAGGGCTAGAGTAACCAAATAAGACCTATTAGAGATGCACTTGAAGTAAAAGAGATGGGTTGAAAATAAAATAAACGTGACAAGCAAATGAAACATAAGTTACAAATATCATTGCACCAAATTTCAAGGCAAGAAGTATAAATGGAGTGAAATGATTCAGATTTGGATGAGGTTACAAAACTGTTTTTGGACTAAATACTTTAAGACTTAAGTCCTCTATCTTTAATAGATTAACTATATAAAAGGATAAGAATATAAATAGGTTAATTTTTGGAAAATTAACAAAAATACATCATCTGTTTTAACTACATAGAAAAAGCTTCAGTAAGATTTTTTGAAAACTGGAACCAAAGGGACACTGAATCTTATTTGAATTTGATTAGAAATAAACAAGGTATAAATATATACGCAAAGCACATGTAAAACATACTCTCTTAAACACATTTGAGTTAAAAAAGAAATCGAAACTTGAGTCACAAATTAGAAAATAAGGTTTTAGCGCTATGATAGTAAAAGCCAACCTGTAATTTTTGCTGCCTTTTCCTCTTGGTTCACTCGATTCTCATCATCATCCTCATTATCTTCTTCAAAATCATCTAAGTTGCCAATGTCAGCCTGCTTCATACTCATCAAACTAGCCAAACTTTGCATATCTTCATCCCTGTATGATTGGTCGAAATACAATACACAGCTTATTAAATTACATTACTAGAAAAATAATTAGAAAATAGATGTTTATCATGCCTAACAGGAAATCTTAAATTTCAAAGACTCCAAATATCTAAAGCACTCTAAAGCCCCAAGCTTTCTGTTCCGATGAGGTACCACATGTGGAAAACGCCATGTCACACACATACTGACGTGCAACCGGTAGCCAAAGTTCAGGTGCACTAAAAACATTGTTTAAAGCTACATTAGGTTACACATATAAGGTATGCATGAAACCGAAATGGCATTGCGCTTGGACTTGGGTCTCATCCCTAAGATATCCTTATGTGTATGCAAACACCCCAAAATCTGGAAAAAAACAAACCTGAAATCTGAAAACTTTCAGAACTATGAAGCATTTTGGATAATACAACACATAATATTAACGTAGCCTTTCTTTCTGTAAAATATCAGTATGCTTTCATGTTGTTAAGAATAGTTTTAAAACTAAGAATTTTGAACATTTTGTAAATGTCTAACTAGCATGTTTAACACTACAAAGCAGACAAGACCAGACGCTAAGATTTCAGCAGGTATTTGTGCTGCTGCTCTGCAGAAGACAGATGGCTTCTGCAGAGAATTCAAGTACAGTTTCTTCAGCATTAACTTTAGAAACAAAACCTTGTTTCATGAAACAGCAGGACAGTCCACAAACTGGATAAATCTCGACTTTAAAACACAACTTGAAGCTGGAGAGATGGCTCAGAGGTTAAGAGCTCTGGCTGCTCTACCAGACACCCTGCGTTCAATTCCCAGCACCCACATGGCAGCTCCCAACTGTCTGTATGTCCAGCTGCAAAGGACCCAGCAGCCGCGTCTGACCTCACAAGAGTCAGGTGTGCCCATGGCGCACAGACATGTGGGCATGCACACACACAGGGACACACAACACGCATTTCCGTGACTAAAACACACGGCACACATTTCAGTGGCCAAAACAGATAGACTTACAAAAGAGATTAGAACAGGAAGTCTTCTCTTTTGTTTTTTAATTATTATTATTATTAATTCACCTTGCATTCTGGCTGTAGCTCCCTCCTTTGTCCCTTCCAGGTTCCACCCACCCTCTCTCTTTCTCCCCCTTATCCCCTCCCCTAGTCCACTGATGGGGAGGTCCTCCTCCCCTTCTATCTGACCCTAGCCTATCAGGTCTCATCAGGGCTGGCTGCATCATCTTCCTCTGTGGCCAGGAATTCTTAGTTGAGAACTATGTACCATTTTGGATCTGTGGGCCGGAGGGAATCAAATGGTAAGCCCTGAAAACCATATTAACTACCATGTGTAAGTTTTTCATGGAGCTAGAGGCCCTAAAGGTAACTACTGCAACTAAAACAGACCACCTAAAGGAGAGTCTGGTCTTTTGAAGAAATAGATGAAATCCTCAGCTAATTACAAGTTAAACACCATATATCTGATAAAATATTAATTTTATTTCAAAATACTTAAAATATACATTTATGAGGTTTATATTAAATATCTTGAGACAATCAGTTAAGTTTTATTGATCTGTTATTTTACCTTAAATCTCACCAATTATAACACTTTAATATGTTGTACAACAATTTTTCATTTTTGTATATTTCCTCTAAATTCAGACAGAAAAATTAAAATGTTATTCTTTTATAATATTAATTTTATCTTCTAATTGGCAAACTAAGCCAATTATAGAAATTCTTCACATTTTATTTCACATAGGCTGAGTTAACAAAATTATTTCTTTCTTTTTAAACAAATTTCATAATTATCTACATGAACAAGAAAAGCTGTATTACTTCATATGAGTGCCTTCCAAATTCTCAGGTATCAGTAACAGGTAATAAGACCTTCCATGGCACAACAGCTATAATCCTAACACCTGGGAGGCAACAGCAAGGGAGACTGATCACGCAATGACCTTAAAGCCAGCCTGGTCCACAGAGCGAGTTCCAGGCCAGCCAGAGCCAAACAACTAGACCCTATTCTCAAAACAAAACAATGATGTGATGTGATGTGATGTGATGTGATATAGTATAATATAATGTAATATAATATAGCATAGTTAATATAATAATACAATATAATATATCAGCAGTAATGATGACAGTATTAATAATAAGTGTAAGTTTAAAAAAATCATTCTTCAAATGAAACCTGCTTAATTTTGCCACTTAGGTTTCCTGGCATTTTAAAGCTCAACACTGTCCCATGGGGATGTAAGGAAGCAAGGAAGGGGAGAAGAGGCAGTCCTTAAAGAATTCCTATTCACATTAAACTGAAACTCTTACCTAGCCAGCTAAGAATGGTCCAATGCACTGGCCGCTTCTGGAAGCGGATGAATGCCACTCTGAAAGGCTGCCTGGACTTGTTCTCTCTTCCCCTGTTTGCTTTCCTTTCATTTGGCTTACACTTCAGGGTAAGATCTTCATGCTCCCCCGACCTCCTCTCAGTGTTTGCAGCTGAGAGGAGAGCTCAGGTGCGTCCCTCCTAACCACCTCACTAACCACACGCACCTGGAACACGGCTTCCCCCTGCATGCTGTGCACCTACCGAGCCGCTTGCTGCCTTGGAGACGGGTGCCAAACACCTCACTCTGAGTGATACACAGAAACAGCCTCACCAGTGGAGCAGACACGACCAACTATAGTAGCCATATCCTACCGGGCTGGATACGCACAGAGCCGTGTGCAGATTGGACCGTCTTTCCATATCCTACCGGGCTGGATACGCACAGAGCCGTGTGCAGACTGGACCGTCTTTCCCCCTTGTCTTCAGCAGGAAACTCTCGGCAGAGCGTTTCCATTTATTCTATCTCTTCATCTTCTACTCCCAAGCAGACTCTTGCCTTGTCCGTATCACGTGTGCTTACTCCTGACTTAGTTCTCGGCAATGAGTGTATACGCAGCACTTAAGAAGCAAAGCTTTTGGGTTGGTTAGGTTTTTTGGAAAAGGTACTGTGCTGTTACTTTCTGTCAGCTTGACACAAACCAGAGTCACTTGGGAAAGGAAGATCTCGATGAAGAGCTCTCTCCATCAGACTGGCCAGTGTGTATGCCTGTGGGGCATGTTCTTGATTAATGACTGATATGGAAGAGCCTATTCTGTAGGGGTGCCAGGTCGGGGCAAGTGGGCCTGGGTTCTGTAAGAAAGTAAGCTGAGAAAGCCATGAAGAGACCCCAAGAGTTCCATTCCTCCGTGGCTTCTGCTCCAACTCCTGCCTTCAAGTTCATGCCTTGGCTTCACTTGACTGATGGACGGCAACCGGTAGGCAATATGTGGGCCAGTGCTGTATCACAGCAACACAGACACCAGTGACAACAGTTATGGTACCCAGACCGCTCGCAAATTCTCTTTCCCCAAGTACCGGGACGGCGGGTGTAACCAGGTCCAACTCAAATTGATTTTGAAAGGATAAGAATCACATAAATTGTTTCTCTAGCTGTCCTTCCTAAGCAATTTTTGAAGTATGGGCTAAGGAAATAGGAACTGGCAAAATTTCCCTAAGTTCTTTCAACCTTAGTATTCTAAAACCTTTCCCTTTGTGTTTCTGTATGTCTCCGCTGCTCTAAGGATTGAACTGTCTGCACCTTAGAGAACAGTTTGCTATCATGAAGACAATGAAACCCATAAGACAAGTACAATGCCCTATAATATATAATTCAAAAACTGAAACTAGCTGCAATCACTTTTATGCTACTGTCATTCTAGGGAATCAAAACAGTATTTTTAAACAACAAGCGCATTTAACCCAGCCTCTGAAATAAAACAAAACAAACATACAAAAAGGAAGAATGAGTGGTATAGTATAAGATGTTCACCTTACTGCCAATCTACTAAGACAAAAGTTGTGGTGTTTTAAAACACAATAGAATGAAGTCACTTATTTGATGACAGAAACTTACGTTGCTTTTCCCTCCCGAAGGAAGATACACGATAATGAAAACTGGAGAGTGGCAGACACAGCTTTCTTAGATAATGGCTTGAATTTTAGCTTGACATCAGTTTGAGTTGGCATAGGACTCGCATACTGTTTCATATTGATGCTGCTGGTAGCAAGAGCTTTCCTCCGACCAGAAGGGGACTCCTGGAAGATAAAAAGCAATATGTAGTTTGGAATTATTTTATAGCCATTAAAAAAATATTAAGAACTTCTCTCACTAAAGAATTCTTGTTGGGCTGGAGAGATGGCTCAGAGGTGAAGAACACTGGCTGCTCTTCCAGAGGTCCTGAGTTCAATTCCCAGCAACCACATGGTGGTTCAAACCATCTATAATGAGATCCGGTGCCCTCTTCTGGCATGCAGGTGTATTTATATGCAGACAACATCGTATACATAATAAATAAATAAATAAATTAATTAATTAATTTTTTAAAAAGCTAGTGAAGAGCACACACAGGGCTCACACCTGTTATCCCAGCACTAGTGTGGGTAGAGGCAAAAGGCATCCAGAGTTCACTGCTGGCCTCAACTACATGAGACCCCGACTCAAGAAAGCTCGGAAAGGCTCCCGGATTCATGAGAAAAGGATGCTTCACAGGCAGGGCACAGTAAGTAGCTATCAGCGGCTTCATTTTTCTCTTCGATTAAATTAATGTAATTGAACGGTATTTTCCTGTTAAACATAATTTTTTTTCTAGGACTGTTTCTGCTCCTGCTAGTCCACGATTCTTCCTCCTTTCCTTAAGATCACATATATCAGTGAAGAGACTTGTTTCTCAAATATTACACCTATGGCAATACTGCTGACTGACCCCAGCGTATCTAAAAAGTTCTTTAAAACAGCTAGTGCCCATTCATCAGACTATATAAAAAGAGGCTTGTTTACCATCAAAATTGTTTAATATTCCATTAACAAGTCACTTGTGTTTCACAACTGCTTTTTATACAATAGGGGCTTGAGGGATTGATGAGAACAGGACAGTAAATAACTGGGCATTAATCACATGTAAGATACCATGTAAATTCGGGAGACATATGATAACATATAAGATACTCTTTTCATTGGGTTCTACCAGCAAGAGGGAAAATTCACCTGCAAGGTAATTTGGGATAATGAAAACCAGAGGTCATATACTGTCCATATTTCTTTGAGGTTAAAATCTTGGAACTGAAAGCAACATGAAGGCTTAACGTCTAAGCCATGTGATCTTGAACAAGTCAAGGGTGTTCCCTATAAAATAAACAGTTACTAAACAAAGCCACTCAAGTTTTGTAATTATTTCCTATAAAATCATTCAATTTCCCAACCAAAGTAAGGAATTTTATCACTAATACCTTTGTATTACTGTTCAATAAATTTTGATTTGTCCTATGACAAATTTGCCTAAAGCAAGGCTGTTATACTTGAATCAAAGCATTACATGACTTTTTCCAAAACCTAACATTTCTGCCTAACAAGTAAAATATAATGTCACCTCCCTAAAGAATACCTATTCTAAAATGTGGTCTTATCTGTCAGATTATGCACAGCAATATTATACGGAACTATTAGTGCATGCAGATACCTTATGAATGAATTTCAAAAATGCATCAAGCACTTGAGAAGTTAAGCCCTCTCAGAAGAAATACTTAAGAATATGCAAATACCCTCAACTGAATCAGGTTGAACAGATGTGGCTATCCCTAACAATACAAGTGTTCTTTCCCTGGTCGCTACTGTCAATCAAAGGATAAGATTAAGGTCCAAGGTTCTGACAATGTGCAAAATGAAAAAGTACAGTCGGGGAATATCAATTTATTACACTGATACGAACAATAATCTCTTATTGTACCTTTAGAATAGCTAACAACTTCTACATAGAACACAAAATGTAAAGCCCCGGGTTGAAAAGCCTGACATACAAACTGTCACTTTATTACTTTCGGGGCTTTTTCTGTTTCACAAAAGCATGACATTGATCCTTAATATAATAATTTAATTTTGTAATAAAAGAAGCCATGAAATTAACATAACTTAGAAATTCCATACTTTTGAAAGCTGTATTTGAAGATACTACTTTTAAACTATAGAGTTCTGAATGATTAATATTCTGTAAATTTCATTATTTTGTTTTTAAAGCAAAAGTTACATAGAAAAGCTTTTCTGCATTAGTATTTGGTAATGAGTGTCTCTGAAGCAATAGGTAATAGCATTCACTAAGTTCTAAACACATTGTCACACCACTTAAGCAAAAACTCTTGAATAGTGTTCATTAAAACAACAAAACAAGGGGCTCAGTGGTTAAGAGCAGTGGCTGTTCTTTCAAAGGACCCAGGTTCAATTCCCAGCACCCACACGGCAGCTCACAACTGTCTGTAACTCTAGATCCTGGGGATCTGATACCCTCTCACCAACACACATAAAATTAAATAAGTTATGTTTTTAAAACAAACAAACAAAAAAAGAAAACTAAAACAGCTTATACAAAATAAATGCTCACAGACCTGGATCCCATTTCTTCACACCCTAAACCAGTAAGACCTACAAAACCATGTCCAGGAATCAGCTGATTTTCAGCAAGCTGCACACCACCATTCTCTCCTCTCGCTATCTCTTTATTCCTTTCTTCTTTCTGGCTTATGACTCCCACCCTCTAGTTAGGTGATCATAATCTGGTCAATCAAAAAAATCACATTTTCAGATCCTCTAAGGAAGTTCACATAAGATTATCATTAAGTTCTCATTCTCACTTTCATAACATTTTTCATTGCCATAAAGACCGATACATTTCCATTTCTAACAAATGCAACTTATTATAGTTGGAAATCAGAATGTGGCATTAGGACTTATTTTGATAACTAAGTTTCAATTTCACGTTATTGATAAATATTTTTAAAAGCTGAACAACAGCAATATTGCTGAGAACTATCTTTTGTAACTGCTGGGGACTGTTTCAATTGGTACAGCCACTTGGGGAACAACTCCACATTGCCTTTTAGGTTGAATTCATGCACATGTCATGACTAAGCAATTCCCATGTTGAAAATTAAGTCCTACAAAAATCTTCATGACATAGATTAGAAGCCACCTCTATGTTATGTGGTAGATGAGAAGAGTTGGAAAAACCAAGAATAAACTATTCCAAAGACAGACAGGAGATCAGAACATCACAAACTGCAAAGAAGAGGACAGAATAGCTAAAGACTCCAACGGAGAAGGAACAGAAAGGAAATGCCTTGGTACTGCATGGCTTTGCCATAGGAGGAGGGAAAACAGAAGGCCTATCCAAAAGTGGCTTGTGTTCTCAGAGTGATACTGGTGATTGGGCTCTCAAATGAGGACTGTTCACTAATATCCTCAGATAAAACTGGAGAAGGTACCAAAACAACAAATGTGTAAGTAGCAACAGAAATACAGAAACATGAAAAGACCTGGAAGCTATACAACTGTTTCAAGGGATCATAATGCCTCAGTTACTAAATCCAAAGACACTGAAATGAACAAAACACATATGAAGAATTCAAAAGTTTACTTATAAAAGTGACTTTAAAGATGAAAGGAACAAGCAATTAAAGAAAGCAACTCAGGACATAAAAGAAGATAGTCTGCAAAACAAATGAGAAAGTAAGAAAACAATTTTCGGAGAGGAAGAGAGAAGATGACAGAAACACTGGAAATGAAAACTCAACAAATTAAAATGAAAAACACAGACAAAAGCATCAGCAATAGACTGACCAACCAGGAAAAAAAAGGGGTGGGGTACCAAAATGGACAAGATCAAGGAAATACTGTCAGACATTGCTATCAAACAATATGAGCACAACTCTAGGACATAACTGAAGAATAAACTCAAGAATCTATGGAGTAGAAAGGAACTGAGATAAAAACTGAAAGAACAGGGAAAAAATTCAACAAAATTACAGCAGAAAAAATAAAGGAAAGAAATGGACAGCCAAGTACAAGGCATTTAAAACACCCAATAGACAAGACCAGCGATCTTTCCATGACAGATACTTAAGCTACCAAAACTATAAAACCAAGAGGAAATACTAGAAGCTATAAGACAAAAATGCCAACTCACATCACAATGACATCAAACCACAGGAGAAATGCCAAAAGCTGAGAAAGAATAAAATTATATATTTAAACCCCCCAAAGCTAAGTGCTGTCAACTAAGACAATTATACAAAATTATCTTTTAAAATTGACAGAGAAGGATATTCCAAACAAGCACCAACTAAAGAAAGTCATGATCACCAAGCCAGCACTGCAGAAGATCCTTAAAGGAACCCTAACTGAGAAGAACAAGAGTCTCAACCACACAAAAAGAGGAAAGAATAAACAGGAGCAGATGAAAATGATGAACTGAAAAAAAAAAAACAAAAACAAAAACAAAAACAAAAACCAATCCTGTCTAACTCATAAAATCAGCAAATCTACTCACCTGAATAGGGGAGAAAGAAAAATGACAAAACAAACAAAAAATAGTCCAACCAACCTGAAAAACAGCCAATAAAATTACAGAAATCTCCAAATCAATAATAAATTTCAATGGAAGTAGCCTTAACTCTCCAATTTAAAAAAAAAAAAATAGCTGATTCTATTTTTAAAAAACAAGATTCTGCTAATTGTTGTCTCCAAGAAGCACACCTCATTGGCAAAGACACATAGAGTGTGAAAAGATTCATCAAAAGGGAGCCAAAGCCAAACCAGCACAGATATTCTGATACATAATAAGGTAGACATCATGCCAGATAAGACAAAGAGACAAGGCATGCTAACAAATGAAACAATCTAGCAAGAGGATATGGCCATTCTAAAGATGTAAGGCAGCAGCTACTGCTGCTCTCATTTCTCTAAACAGACACGGGTGAAAGGGGACAGACAGGTTCTGATACAGTAACAGTGAGTGACTTAAGACCCCCACATGTTTTAGTAGATCAAGCAGATTTACAAACAAGCTTCAGGAGCTGGTGAGATGGAACTATGAGACTCTCGAGTGATCCTCAGAACCCATGTGAAAAGCTGACTGTGATGGGACATGCCTGATCCCCCAGTGCAGAGGACAAAGAGATAGGAGAACCCCTGGAATCCAATGGCCATCCAGCCTATCCAAACTGATGAGTTCCAAGTTCAGCAGGAGGCCTGGACTTGAAAGAAAAGG